AAATGAAAGGCAATGCAAATATTTACACTCTTCTATTAGATTCTGTAGCAACCTGGCCGGTCACACAACGTACTGTCATTTCCTTCCCTTAGCTGATTGAAACATCAAGTATTTCTTTCTTCTCCCTGGATGTGAACAATGTTCTCAGGCTAAACTTAATGCCCTCAATAAAATATAACTTCATATTTCAGAATTAAATTAAAAATTCATGTCCATTCCTTCAGAAGATCTGTCAAGTGTGTCGAGCTGCTCTAATATTAAAATGGCTTGTTTTCTTCTCATTCTCGCAGCTGTAGGGGAACTTCTCAAACGTGGCTCCCCAAAATGCTCATCAGTCAAGCTGATATCGCAGATTCTGTGGATTTGATCCAGCATAACAAGTAGTATATCATAGCGCTCACACAATTCGCTCGACTGAGCTTCATATAACATAAAAAGAGATATATTATAGCCTACAGTCAGACAATACCTCCTAGTCTCATTCTTACTGACTGTCTTTCTTTTACCGTACGTCTCATTTTCATCAATATCCAAGAGAGTGGAAATTATAGCCCTGCACTCATGACTGGCCTGGGAGAAATGAATTGATAAACAGATAAGGCGGCTTCAGCTCTTGTTTAAAGGGTAAGTGGCACTTAGACGGGCAATGCAAAAGCATTAATGCAAAATTCTCCCTCCCACCTTCCCATTCTCGACTGACTTCTTTGTACTCTGAGATCTCAACAAGTGACAGAAAAAAAGATGCCACATAAAACTGAAGAGGATGGAGGAAAATAAACAAACTCATGCCAGGGCCACGTGCAGGATAAAAAATTATGAGAGTCAATGACAGAGGTGTGAAGAGGGTTGAGATTAATAGAGGCAAGGATTCGTGAATTCGAGATTAGTTTGGTCTGACATCGAACAACTAGGCCGCAGGCGACCAATTACACTCCACACTGCTGGAAAGGCAATGTTTCACGGAGCCATACATTATTTATTAGCCCTAATACTCACTGCACCTTTTTGTGTGAGCTACAGCACTGCATTTCTTTCTTTCTCTTACTTTTACTACAGTTGAGTCACTCAGGAATCCTCTCATTTTACAACAGCATATATGCTATTAAGTTCTCAAAATTGCTGTCATTGATTCGTTTAATATCGTGCTGTGATTCGTAACTTATGATATTCGGATATTAAACTGTTGATTCGCAGTGAATAAGCCATGTGCGCCATCTATCGGTTGCCGTTGGAACGTGGTTGTGTTTGTGCGTTCATTTGAGATCAGGACTAGGTCTTAAAAAAATTTAACAGCAAAAATTATAATACGTTTTAAGCACAAGCAAACATTATTTTGAGACTCGTAACAATCTTTTAACATTCAACGTTAATCCTTAACCGTTTACATCTTTATTATTGTCAGTGTAGTATGTCTTTATGCACTTTTCATGGTCAATATAGGTTGTAATAAATTATTCAGTACCAATTTTGCTTAGTAATAGTTTCTGTACTTTTGCAGCTTCTGTACCGACTCTGTCTTATTTTTAAGTCTTGTGTAGGCTATCAGTTGTGCAGAATTGGGCATCATAATTTGCACAAGAACAAGGCTGACACAAGATTAAATGTCTAGTGGTTTGAAAGCTGATGGAACAGTACTTGGGAAGCATATAGACCACGTATATACCTATATATTTGTCAAGCAGTGCATAATTACAGACAAACTAGAACCTGTCATCTGCACTGAAATACTTGAGGTCTCCACTAGAGGGAGATAGAACACAATTTTTCGTACTGTCTCTCGCTCTTATTACTGTCCAGTTAAAATGTGATCCAGTAAATATCCAAAACCTTTTGATAAAAAACAACAGTAAAATAATTTTCCCTCTGCACATATCTGTAATTCTATATCATTTCTGAACTATTTTAGGATATCCAAAAAGCTATGAGGTTCCATTTGTGTCAAAAATGAGTCGACTGCTTTGTGCTTTGTACTATACATTTGTCTTTGTCTACAGTCATTGCCTACTTGTTCAGGTAAATCAGTATATGTAGGCGTGTATGTTGTCTGTTGACGTCGTCTTAATCTGTCGTCCTGCCTGCTTTTTCTCTGTCGTTTAATTACTGTCGTCCTATTGGCAAAATATCACCTGTAGTAATTCAGTCTCATAATTAGGAATGTACTACAACCTTTGGAACATTAAAAAAAACCTATTGATAAATTACTATATTTTTTTCAACAAATATTTGTTTACTGTACATACAGTAAAGGAGGTACGAGCAAAATTTCACAAATCATAAGTCAGTCTTGTAACTGCAAATGTATTACAACCTACGCTGGCAGTAGGCCTGAAGAAACCTACAGCCTTATTACACTCAAACACTGATGTGATACTGCTGTCATAGTGTGGCCATAGCAATATTAAAGAAAGAGTGGCAATAATTCAATCAAAATCCACAGAGGTGCTATTTATTCCTCTATAGGACCAGGCGTTATGACCCTGAGCTCCCTCATCACTGGTCAGTCAAGTAGTCAAGTATATTAAAGTATATACTAGTAGTCAAGTTATTTATAGGTACACACAGGTATCGTCCTCTGAAAATACATAATGTGAATATACATAATTTTAAACAGTTTTAATACTTCTATTTTTTATGTGTAAAATGTCTAATGATAAAAACAGGGTTGTCTAAACCATGGATATATGTACATGCTTCATTAGTGGCTGTTTCTATGGGCAGCTATACATAAGCCATCTGCCATATTGGAACAGTCAAAGGTTGTCTGACTCCGAGAACACTCACAAGTTGATGCAAGTTGACTGTACATCTACAACCATAGTTATTATACACAATACATGTATGAATATTCAGATATGCAATAATATGCAGTAGATGATTTTGTTAAGCTAACACAATACATCACGACGAAGGCTTTGGCTAACGTGACATCAAAAAGTAAACCGTAGTTTAAAAACCTGTAATATTGAGTTTATACATATGAAAAGCTCAAACCAACACATTCTCAACTGTGAAAGGTTATCTAATTTCTTTGGTAATTTAAATCTCAGAAGTTTTTACAACCAGAGGCTGCGCAATGTTATGGCATCTTTAAAAAATCATTGATTTTTTATGTAAGTGACAACACGTTGACCGTACCAAGATGTCAGACATGTCTGGAGCAGTTGAATGTGGCATCTACGTATACATATCTATAGACCAAACCTGTTCCTAGGTGGCCACTGTCCTGCAGAGTTTAGCTCCAGCCCTTACTAAACACAGGCGATTTCAACCGGCTGCCTAAAAAGATGCTCAGGACAGTTGACGGGCCACTGCTGCGGTCAAGAAAGAGAGAGCAAGCGCAAATCCTGGCAGCTGCAGGTCGCAGCGCCACTTCCGGTGGCATCCCCAGCTGCCACTAGTCGTTTCTGGCAGCTGCCAGAGTTCGTGGCAGCTGCCACTATAGTCGTTTCTGGCGGCTGCCACGGTCTTTCTCGCCGTTTCTGCTGTTTGCTCGGTAAAACTACACTGTACTCAGTGGCGTGCGGTGGTGTTTTTTTTAAATGATGCAGAGTTCCCACAATTTTATTATTATTATACAGTACATTTTTATGTATCAGTTGCCATAGTTCTTGCCAGGAGTCAAAGGCAGCTGCCAGAGTTCGTGGCAGCTGCCACTAGTCGTTTCTGGCAGCTGCCACGGTCTTTCATGCTTAAACTATGGTGAGTGTAGCAAAATGTTTTAACTGTAATAACCTTTTTTATTTGTTTCAAAACCATGTGTAATTTTCGTAAGTTTTTTTTTTTGCAAATAATTTTTACTGTTATTTTATAATGATAAACGGTAATATATTTATAGAAAGGATTTAATGTTAGAAAAGATCACTTATGCATGTACTGTAAATGCTCTTCAAGTTTGAAGCATTAATTGTAACAGTATATACACCAAATATTTTGACCATATTTTCTTCTTTCACAACAGGAAAACATTTTTTGAGAGACACCAGGACTGCAGCTGACTGGTGCGGTAACAGAAATTGAAATGGATTTTATATATATATATATGTATATATATATATATATATATATATCATACATAGCACCAAATCACAAACTGACTTATCTCGTAGCACTTTACATACATGTATGTAAGGGCATTTTACAACATTAACTGCAGAGACCCAACATTCCCTCATTAGCAAGCACTTGATGACAGCAGCAAGAAAAAAGTTTCCATCTCTCTATAGAGGGCTGGGTGAAAAAAACATGGCACATAGCATTGTATTGATGATGTTCTCTGTCAGCATGGTATAAAACAATTTTTCCATTTTTTCCATGTGCATATTACCCTAGACAGAAGACATAATACAGCGTCTGGAACGAATCATATCTGTGCCTTCTGTGCCTGCTGAGAAGCAGATGTTTCTAACAGAAGTGATTTTGCCTGAGGTGAGCTATAGAGATGTGTACTAAATTAACAATTAGAATAGGAATTTCATTTAAAGCAAAGAAATTGATAAGCAAGTGATGGCTTTGAGGCCTCTAAAGCTACGGGTGTCAATATAATTTGAGGAGCAACAATCAGAGATTATATACCAAGTACAATAAAATGGAAGCATGACTTCACACTTCTTCTTTAATTGTTGGCTTCCAAACTGCAGTACTTCAGTATAAGTAGCAACTTAATTGAAAAGATTAAACTGAAACCTTAAATGTGGTTAAAGTTGTCTGTTTGTCACATTAAAATGAATACTGTACATTTCTTAGATTCTGATTTATTGGTTGCAAACCAATGTCAATATGTGCCGATATATGGCCGAATCTGTGCTTCTGAAGTGCACATCTTTCGAAGGAAAGAAAAGGTAGAGGATATTTTTTCATTGTGGGTGTTCATACTTACTCTTTGTATAACATCACTAAATACATTCTTCCTGTCATGACATTAGGGGATTTCCATGTCAAGCTGATGCCATTGTAATTAGGTACCGATTTTCTTTTTTTTTCCCAGTGTTGCAGAGATCAAAACAGGTGAGGACACAGAAAGCACCGAAGAGGTAAGACATTTTTAACAAAAGCCCATTTTTAACAACAGCCTCCCACCCCCAAAAAATTAACCTCACTTGATTTATTCAGTGGCAACACCTAAATGGGGGAAGCCTATAACCCATTCACAAACATAAAAAAATAATTAATCTTAAATAATGATCCTTGAGACTTTGCTTTGTATGTTTTTGCTGATTATTCTACATGCATTTTACATAATTTTCATGTGTCATCAAAAATAATAAAAATGGAGAATAATATAAACATGGTACATGAATGAAATAACATTTTTGTAATATAAAATATCTGGCAAATATCTGTGGGATTCCTGATAAATGATACATAACATTTTTGTAATATAAAATATTTGGCAAATATCTGTGGGATTCCTGATAAATGATACATAACAGTTAAATGAATTAATTCTGAAGGAACTGGATTTCATTAAGATCCATTAAGGTCTTAAATGACACAAGAACTGATAGACAGCATTCATTATAACAAAAGATCATATATTTCTTAAAAATGTTGTAACAGCTTTATGTACTCTACACGTTTGAAGCATTAACATCAGTATACATGAAATAATTTGACCATATTTGTTATTTACTGCAGGAAATCCTTCTTCTGAGAGACGCCAGGACTGCAGCTGACTGGTGTAGCAAGAGAAACTGGGATGGAAAAATACAATTTCCCATTGTTCTTTCAATGGAAAAGGAGCAACAAATTGCATCCCAATGCAAATTGCAGAGCTGGATGGGTGAATATGACGAAAGTTCTCCAGCCGAACTGTTCACTTTTGTATTTGGGAAACAAAAAGATTATGAGGTGTTCTGCACAGAAATGGATCATAAAGCAAAGTACAAAATCTTCGCCAGATTTGAGGAAGAATGAGTCATCCTTCAGGATCATAAATAAAAAAATCAATCAATGATAAAAATACATTAAAAAATCAATAAAAACTTAAGTGTCTCAATTAAAATGGTCTCATGATTATTTATATATATATATATATATATACACA